TACTCAGATGCCTCAATCACATGAAGGGATCAACCCAGGCACGAGTCTTGATCATGCACAGCCCGGGCAAAACAAACCTGAGACGGACAGGAGATAACTTGAACAGATTGTGTGGAAACATGCGACACCAAAGCTAAAACCGTGGCGAGGCACTTGCCGGTAGTGGTGACCTCGCTGGCACCGATTTCGGAAAGGTTCTGCAGGACCGACAAGACATCCTTCTTCTTGAGCTCGGACTTGGTGGCGAGCTGGTCGGCAAGCTGGGCCTTGGTCATGGCTTTGGCATTGGTCTTCATGGCCTTGGACTTCATCGCGGACTTCATTGCCGGAGCCATGTCTTCCAAGTTGGTTGGATGTTCGAGGAAGGCTTTGTGAAAGCTTGAGCAGCGAAGGCGGCGGATGGAAATCGCACCCTTCCATCGTGCTTATCTTCCGGCTGGCTTACAGGACAGTTCAGGTCCTCCTGCTCGCAGCTTAAAACATTATGCCGTTATGCAACCTCGCGCTGTAGGTCGAAAGATTGCCTGACTCGACAGGCTTCACACATCCTGCCTTCTTGAACTTGTTCTCGATGGAATCGCGCTCCGTCCTCGCAGTATCGGCGCGAAGCTCAAGGGCCCAACCAATCTCTCAGCCCAGGTAGACGGGATTCTAGACGGATGCTGATGATCTTGTGAAGCAAGTTGCTTCTTGCCTTCAATGTCTTCTGCAGGCATCCCCGATTCTATTCCTGAAGACCCCGCATCTTGAATCATCAACTTCCCATATTGCATATACGAAATCAGCGAAAACTTGAACTGCCAAGAGCCATAGTCATAACGAACCGCTTAGCTCCACAACAGAAGCAGGAAGTAAACCTCCGATGCTCCTGAGCGCTTGTTCCTTGGTCATCATCTTCGAGTCGATGCTCTGTATCCAAACTGCCGTGTCAACGATAGCCTGCCGATTGCAGGGGTGTCCCGCAAAAAAGTGCCACGTCGCAGGCAATTCGTCAGTATGCCCGGAGATCCACGGCTGTACACATGCCGCTCTTTCCTATGTTGCAGCATTTAGAGGTTCTGCAGCGGTCGCGCAACAAACAGCAGAATACTTTGCGAGGGCTTGCCTGCAATTTTACAACGATTCACACAGCGCATCTTGATTAAAAGAAACGCAGAATCCGAAGAGCCGTTGTTTTGCACGCTACGAACATGCTCGGAGCCGTGGCTTCGCCAGTGGCTCCGGGACGAGGCTTTGGACTCAAACGGCCCGGAGATGAGAGTTAAATAGATTCAAGAGGCAGTAGGCGAACATTTGGGGAATCCTGGTCGTCCGGTGTGAAGCGCCATAGAGATAATACAACTACAGTACTGGTGCGCAGCCTTCCATGGGTTTTTGGATGCTTTCCACATCCAGCTACGGATCGAGCACCTCTCTACCTTTGTCTCAGCATCCGAAGCGTCTGCCTGAGACCAGGTGACATCTGCACCGTTCAGGGAAAGAGATCCGTGCCGGCTTCTGGCACATGTCCCAGATGGGGCCGATGGCTCTGATGCGAATGCGTGGAGAGCTATGTCACAGGCTGTGTGTACTCGACTTACATCCTGCTTCTGGAGGGTCAGGTCTCTGGGCTTTGGCGTTGGGTGGATTGGGCTCCAAAGCAGGTTTACAACCACGACTCCTTTTCGCCCCCCGAAAGCAACAACCCATCGGCACATCTGGTCCGACCTTACGATGGTTTCATCTTCGGTAACGGCCCTTTGGGACTGTTGCCTCTCGCCCGACATCAGCCTAGCTGGGAAGACTGGGCATCCTGCGGGATGATCCAGAAGACCTCAGGTTTACGTTGGCAGGGGGGGCTTGGAGGCCAGACATCTTGCAGGCTGAAGCATGTATTACGGTTCCAGAGCGGGATCTGCGAATGTAAGCTACTTCGGGCAGATACATAGCAGCTCCAGCAAGAAGTGGTGGCTGATCAGGAATCCACAGGCGGGTATAAACGCGACTGCATGGCAAGAACCGGCTCCCTTCGCGCCACAATCCGTTCACGCAACATCGTCACCCCCATGCTCTTCATCTTGCCTCTGAATCCTCATACTGCCAAGGTAGATCTTGCAAACTTGGGTCCCCGGAGCTCTACTGTAAGCCCTCCAAGTCAATTGTGTGACTCGCTGATACTTGCTCAACAAACCCAAGCAGCTTGCACGTGGAACACCTCTGGAACGCTGGCTGCAGGGTTACGATACCTTGGCAACTGACCGATCAGAAGCGGGATGCTCAGCTTGCACACAGCAACTAGCAACATGTGAAACGTTTGACAAGTGCAAACACGCCAATTTTTCCGAGGATTAATGTATAGGAGCTCCAGCGGCAGCCGCAGGTTGAGCCACACAGCATTCAAGCACTGGCGACAAGCGCCAATAGCTCTGTGCAAACCACAGATTTTCAAACGAGGGAAGCAAGACAGGCCAGATGTCAAGACTGCTTCTGCACCCACATTCTCACGTTCAAATCAAAGCTTTGCTTTCGCCGGTTTGACCATGCCCATCTCCGTCATGAAGGCCGTCTGCAGCTCGAGCAGGTGCAAAACAGCTTTGGGCGGACGAGCCATTACCTCGAAGCGGGATACCTTTCCCTCTGAGTTCAGGGTGACTAGGTCAATGCCTCGCATCATGGGCCCGTTTTCTGAGCCAAGGTTGCATTCGAACTCAAGTGCGAATCCCTCGTCCCCCAGGAAGGCACGGGTGTACTTGAAGCGCTTGAAGGCCTTGCAAACGCCGAGCAGCGCGAACTTGATGAACTGCTTATCACGGCGTTCCTTGTGGTACGTCGGCGCAAGGAACACTGGCTCGTCGATCAGAATCTTATCCAAAATCTCCAACAGCCGCGCATCATCGCCACCCATTCCGATATTGATCGCCTGATGCCATGCCAGCAATGTGGCTGCCGCCTGTGGACTCTTAACATCACCAATGACTGACACCCCATCGGCCTCATAAGCTGATCGCACATCCGCCGCCGCCATCTTGCCGGATTACACGGTGGTCACTGTATACTAGCATGCAAACCTCAACAGCAAAGTCAAATGAGAAAATGCAGGAAGAGTACGAACAATCAAACAATCGAGGCTGTTCACCACCATCACTGCGGTATTGCTTTAGAACCAACCTCCCACAAGGACGACGAACTCTCAACCACATGGGCCTAAACTTTCAAGGAAGATGGGGAAGATGCACGACTCAGATCGAGAACTGGCATCCTTCTGAGTTCAGCCGTGGTTTCCTTTCAGCAGCTTCCTCTGTGCACCAAACCTAGTTTTAGGGTCTTAGACCAAAGAAGGAAACCCTGAAAGCGGCGAGAGACCAGATGTAGTCGACCTTGTCGAAGCCTTTGGAGCCCACCTGGGAGAAGAAACCGAGAGCCGAGGTCGAGGGCTTTCAGAATAAACCGTAAAAAGCGCTGCTTTTGGGGGTTTTCTGAAACCTCTGACCATCGCAAGTGAGGTCCCAAGTGCCTTTTTGGTCTTCAGTGCGTCCGTCTGTGGCTCGCTAGTGGGCTAGCTTCAGGAAAAGTGCGTCTGAATTCCTTCGGTGTACCAAGATAAACGGACAAGGCCCCACCCTACCTGTTCGCTTCAGAACCATGGACCAAGCAAATAGCAGCTCTATGCAGCTCTCAAAGTTGCAGCGTGCGAAGTGATCACCGACATACCGGGATCGTTTTGCATAGCAGGTGGGATGCATGAAAATCTGACATCGACACAACTGGCAATTTGGACATCTTCGGTGGCATGCAGAAATGCACGGTATCGACCCTGCAAAATCTCATGGCTCTGTGCACAGTTCCTCCACTGAGTGCATGACCATCGTCATCAACTCCCGTCTTACGTCCTCTGACAAGATGCACTTCAGCAAAAAGCATTCTCCCGTGCAGTTTCTGCAGGTGACGACTCTACCTCCAGAACTATCAGTGTCAGCCTCAAATTGAACACCACCGAGGAAACGATGGCGAAAAGACTTCATTGTTTGTGCAGCCTGTGCATGCCAGATCTCTCCTGATCGATGATATCGTCGGGAAAATCTGCCACCTGACGCAAGATGCACAAAATCACACAATGGTGTCGGACAAAAACGCCCAACCTTAACCTAGGAAATTGCGATTTCTTGAACACACATTCCCCGGCGGGCTGCGCTGCATCGAATCTGGCCTCCTCCCAGGGGTAGTGCAAGTACCTAGCAGAAAGGGTGGCATGCGCTACTCCGGAGGCGTGTCGGGTACAGAGGTTTACGTGCCGGTGATGAGTCGGCGGCTCGTGAGGCGCAATTCATATCTTTTGAGGCAAAGCTGTCTATCAAGATGGCCACATCAAGGTCCTCCTCACTGGAATCACTCGACTCTGCTTCTGGCGCATATATATATATATATGCATAGATAGATGCATCGATCGACTGATTGATGTAGCAGATAGATTTCACAGACGGATGGATGCTCTTGCTGTATGCTGACTGACAGACCGACAGATAGACACACAGACTGACAGACGAGGCAGGCTTCCGCGGCTGTCTATGTAATTGCGCCATCGCACCACAGCAGCCAATGCTGCGCGCGTTGCTGCAGCGGGCTTTTGCCAGGCCTACGAGGGGATTGAAGCGTGGAGGTCTTCCAACCGGGACAGGTTCAGGGCTGCAGGCTGCAATGCACAACTGCTCCAGGTTAAGACAAAGAAAGTCGTGTTTTGGCCTTGGCCTGGACAAACGTACCCTCCTTCGTGAATCCGGAGCCTTCCATGACCTCCTCTTGAAAACTGCGGACTGTCAGCACACCCTCAAAATTGAAATTGATCTTTCGCTGAAGGTAGTTCCGGCGCCTCTCTGGCAGCTGGTAGGGATAGCGGTTGGCGGCAAAGACAGGCTTTGGTCGTTCGAAGGCACCGCTGAAATCAGCCTGCAAGGTGCCGGGATGAGAGGTTCTCCAAACTCTGCCAGTCCAACGAAGGAAATGGAGGTTTGGTTGGCCACTTCGCGGCTACGACTGCTGGAGGCGGAATTGTCGAATATTCCCATTTTCATTCTAGAACTAGTGACTAGTGGTCACTAGTCTTGCAATTCTGCGTACTCTTGCAATTCTGCGTATTGTTCACATGGTTGCGACCACCACAGCTTGATATGCCTGCAAATTTCTACTCTGCATTATTGCTGTGATGCCTGTCTGTTTGTGGTGTAGTCGTAGCAGCAGCAAGTCATCGATGGTCGTCGTAGCAATGGAAGCGGAGCAGCAGCAACAGCAACAGCAGCAGTATCAGCAGCAGTAGTAGTAGCAGCAGCAGCAATAGTGGTAGCAGTCGTCGTCTTAGCAG